TGACACTGACAAAGGTTCGACAATCTGAGGTACAGGATCTCAGGATAAATCCCGAGGGGATTTCACTGACCTTAGCAGACCCAAAAGCTACAACTCTTGTTATATAGGTCTTCCTTTATCTTGCTATTAACCACCCAGCAGAAAAGTATAAAATTGAGGTATAAGAAATAAATCCCTATTAATATGCTGAGCTGTGAAAGGTTCAAGTCAACAACTTCTGACATTGTCCGTCTTATGAAAAACCCACTACTATTATGGACTACTGGACTATATTGGAATATTTCGCTGAATTCATGCACCTGCAATACTTGAATAGCAATGGAGTACCCATCTCTGACAAAACTAAACAAAACAGGGTATACAAATGAGGGACCATTTTGTATCTGTATATACAAAATAGGATAGATATGCAGCTACTTTCTCTTAATTCCATGAGAAGAAAGATTTGTACTAATAGTGTTTGGACAGGATATCATATCTGCATCTTGTAGTATGAATAACCACTAAGAAGACAACAATATGCAATGTATTAATTATTGAAACTGTCCTACTAATAAGTTTTGAAGCTGTCTCATTGCTATTTATTTCTCAATAAAATTATTTTTTTTAAAATTTTATTTATTTATTGTGTGTGTGTGTGTGTGTGTGTGTGTGTGTGGGCAGCTCAGCCCACCAGGGGGCGAGGCTGGCTGGCATGTGGTGCTGGGGGATTGAACCGTGGTCCCTGTGCTTTGCTAAGCTTGTTCTAAGTAGGTGCTTTAGACCACTGAGCCATCTCACCAGCCCCAATAAAATTATTTTTTAAAAAAGAAAACCTTATAAGCCACAGTTAAACTCTGTGGACACAAGCAGAGCCATTTTGTCACATGTTCTGGGGCAAAACTGGGGGAGATAGTGACCTTCTGTCCTAACTTTACTATCTCATTTGAGATTGGATGAAGATGCAGATTTTACAATACCTAATTCAAGTCAAATCATCCTAATTTTTATAAGACTTGTGTGAGGTATTTTGCACAATTTGTATTTTTTACAATTTTATACTCTCTATTTCCCTGCATATTGTAATGTTTCTATTTTATCTTTTTGGAAATATACAGTATTCACAATCTGCTAATCTCTGTTTCTCATGAAGAAGGTGAAGATCATTAATCACATGGTGCACTGGAGAGTTATAGAGTTTTAGACTCACCACCCACCAATGGGAAATTGAGTCATAGTCTCATGAAACACTCTACTGATGCCTTAACACAATTTGAATAATGTAATGTGAATATAGATTCATAGTGATACTAAACATCATTATTTATGGAGGAAACAACAATGAGATTGTATCTTTTATTTGTTTTAAAAGGTGCAAACTGGGCCGTCCAAATAGCTCAGTGAATTAAAGCACCTGCAAGCAGGCGCAGGAGCCGAGATTTGATCCCAGGGCCTGCCTTGCCAGCCCTGCCCCCAGGGTGCGCTGAGAGGGTGATTGAGACTGGGCGTCGTGGCACGCCCCTAATCCCAGCTCTTGGGAGGCTGTAAACAGGCAGATCACTTCAAGTCCGAACTAGTAATGAGACCCTGAACATCCTGCAGACCCTTCCCTAAAATACAGAAAAAAAAGGTGCAAACTGATGTATTTCAAAATATTATAATTTCAACTTACTTTAAAACAATACAAGAGGATGCATCAGGCCGAGGCCGCCAGGGACTTTGAATATGCCGGGGATCGCCCTCAGCAGACTTGCCCAGGAGAGAAAAGCTTGGAGAAAAGACCACCCATTTGGCTTTGTGGCTGTCCCTACCAAGAATCCCGATGGTACAATGAACCTGATGAACTGGGAGTGCACCATCCCAGGGAAGAAGGGGACTCCCTGGGAAGGAGGCTTGTTCAAGCTGCGGATGCTTTTCAAAGATAATTATCCATCCTCACCACCAAAATGTAAATTTGAGCCACCACTCTTCCAGCCGAATGTGTACCCCTCAGGCACAGTGTGCCTGTCCATCCTGGAGGAGGATAAAGACTGGAGGCCAGCCATCACGATCAAACAGATCTTATTAGGAATACAGGAACTTCTAAATGAACCAAATATCCAAGACCCAGCTCAAGCAGAGGCCTACACGATCTACTGCCAAAACAGAGTGGAATATGAGAAAAGGGTTTGAGCACAAGCCAAGAAGTTTGCACCCTCGTAAGCAGCGGCCTTATGGCTCTGCAGAAAGGAAGGGATTGGTTTGGCAAGAACTCGTTTACACCTTTTGCAAATCTAGAATCGCTCGTACGGTCACTAGTCACCTGGGAGGGCTGTGCGGGCGCCATCTTCATTCCCGCCACTGGCATACAGTTTTCATCCGCTGATATCACCCCGTTTTCATACAGAGTCTCTTCCTTCAGTCTTTTGTATTTTTGATTGTTATGGAAAACTTGCTTTTATTTTAATATTGATGTCAGTATTTCAACTGCTGTAAAATTACAAACTTTTATACTTGGGTAAGTCCCCTAGGAGCTAGTCCTACGCTCTCGGACGCAGGCATGCTTCCCACTGCTCAGAGCTGACCATGGCCTCTAGCTGGCTGTACGAGAAGAAAATCCTTTGCCCCTCCCACCCCTCATCTGGTCTCCTCAGAACCTGGGCTGTGTTGCTTATGAGCCTCAGATCCAAAGTCAGCTAGTGTCTCGATTTTGCATCACTTCCTTTGTGTTTATATGACGTTTTGTCTGTGTTGATGTTTAGAGAAAATAAACTTTATATATAAAAAAATACAGCAACAAAATAAATCAACAAATCAAAGAGAGCATACAATAACTGTAACTTGATAGATGGGGTAATTGTACTTATGCTAACCTTTCTTTTTCTACATTTTAGCGAAGGGTCTACAGGGTGTTCAGGGTCTCATTACTAGATTGGACTCATAGTGATCCGACTGTTTACAGCCTCCCAAGACCTGGGATTACAGGCGCGTGCCACCATGCCCAAACTCAATTGCTGTCTCAGCATGCCCTGGGGACAGGGCCGGCACAGCAGGCACAGGTATTGAACCCCTGGCCCCTGCACCTGCTTGCAGATGCTTTAATCTGCTGAGCTATGTAGCCGGCCCAAATGTTTTTAAGCTTTTTTTTTTTTTTTTGTATCAGGGATTGAACTCAGGACCCTGTGCTTTATACTAACCTTTCTACCTTTCTATTTATTTGAAAAAATTCATAGTAAAAAGTAAAAATAAAAATCTCAAGACTGGGCTGGGGGAGATAGCTCAGTAGAATAAGTGCTTGCCTGGCAAGCACAGGATCCTGAGTTCAATTCCTGGTACCAAAAAAAAAAAATCACAAGAGTTCTAATTTCTATTAGTGTATGAACATTAACTAACATATCTCTTTCATGATTTAAAAATTTCCCTTAAACATTCCCAGACCAAATGGATTTTTGCCTAAGGGCATCCTGCTCTGACCCTTGCAATTTATTAGCATTCTTCAACTAAATCCCTCACTCTGACTTCTACTTACCCATAGATGTTATATTACAATTTTATAGCCAGGGTTCCTGGTGATCAAAGAAAATTGGGCAAGACTGTTTTCAAGTCCTTAGGGGAGCTAGCTCTCGGGCCAACTCACACTGTGGGCTACAGAAACAGGACGACAGAGCCGGCCAAATAACTCAGTGGACTAAAGTGCCTGCTTAGGCAGAGCTCAGCAGACCCCAGGGCACACTGAGATGCAATTGAGACTGGGCATGGTGGCGCACACCTGTAAACCCAGCACTTGGGAAGCTGAAAACAAGAGGATCACTATAAGTCTGATCTATGTAGTGAAATCCTGTCAACCCTGTACTAAATACATTGAATAAAAAGAAAGAAAGATGGGGGCTGGGGAGATGGCTCAGTGGAATAAGCGCTTCCCTGGCAAGCACAAGGGCCTGAGTTCAATCCCTGGTTTCACAAAAAGAAAAAAAAAAGAAAGAAAGAAAGAAAGAAACAGGACAACAGAGTAGAATTGGACTCAGGCTTTCTCATCTGGAAAAAAAATAATTTTTGTAGAATGCTAAGATTTCTCACTCATCTGATGCTCTAGGTTTCAGGTGGAACTAGAGAGTGCCAAGCACCCAAATGGCCCTACTTGCTATAGGTCTTGTGATAAAGTCTCACTCTATTTTGGATGTTTGACAGTTGAGGCTTTCATGCTCGCCTCTCCACCTTCCCTTTCCGTCCCACATCTGGGTAAGTATAGAAAGTGTGGGCACTCCCTTCTTTGGACAAACTACACAAACCCCTAACTGTGCACAAATTCTTCCCCCCCAGCTTCCTCGTTAACCACAATAAAACATAAACCCAGTACATTTCCTTGCTATCTACAGATACTTTTGGAACCGTTTTGGAAGCTCAATGACCTCTCCACACAGAGCTACATTGTGTGAATAGTAAACTTCTTGTACTCTTGGTGCATGTGTGGTGCCCTCACTGTCAAGAAACAAAGTTTTAGGTGCATGAGTGGCCAGAAGGCCTGGTCTCACAGCATGATCATGAACCCTATTCAATGTTTTCAAAAATATATATCTCATTCTATGATAGGCACTGATAAAAGCATTGTAAATAAGACTCAGTTTCCTGCTTACATGGAATTTATATACTAGTGGTAAGAGATGGGTAGTAAACTGAATGAATAAGTTAAATAATCTATGTTAGGTACTGATGAGTTCTATAAGGAAAAATGGAACAAGGAGAGAGGCCAGAAAATGTAACATACAAGTGTGATAATTTTATGTGGCATGGTCAAGGAAACCAGCTAGACTATGGGATATGTTAATGAAAATCTGAGGAAGATCGGTGAGTGGGCCCCAGAAAACATACAAGATAGTGGTAGAAACATGTTTAAAGGTCTTGTGTAAGGGGCATAATGAATGGGTTTCAAGGGAAACAAGAAGGTTGGTTTGGAAGGTTCAGACTGCTACAAAGAGAGCTGTAGAAGGCGAGGCAGCTTCAGAAGGAAGGTGAGGGGAAGGCACCAACTTGGAAGATGAGAAGTCACCAGAGGTTGGAACAGAGGAGTGGCACATTCAGAGTTATGTCCTAATATGACTGATTCAGTGGGAGAGAAACAGGGAAATCAGTTAAGAGACTTGTGAAAATCTGGATCATTTCATAGCGTGAACCAGCATGCTAGCAGCTCAAGTAGTGGGAAAGTGATTGGATGCCTGATGTATTTTGAAAGTAGAGACGGCACTTAGTGGTTTCTTCTCATCTTACTGGAGAAGTAGCAGCAATCAGAGCACTTCTAGAGTCTTTTACCACTTTTTGCTACTTGCCAACATCTGTATCCATATACTTTGTTTTCCGTCTTGCTCATCATAGATGAAGTTTCCATGTTCCATGTAATGCCCCCACTTGTGCACTAGAAGTCACCCCTTTTGCATGCTCAGCAATTGTATAACCATTCTTCCCTTTCCCTTTCTTCACTGATATCCTCAATGGGCTGCATTCAGTTTTTCACTCAATAAAATTCAAGCACAAAATTTTTTATTGACCCTAAATCCCCTGTCAACTATTCCTTTCATTCTTTGCTCCCCATTGCAGCAGAACTATTTGTTCCTTCTTTCTGTCTTTAGTTAATTTCTTCCTATTTCCATCACATCTAATCCTGTAAGGCTTTTCTTCTTTCCCCCAGCAACACATCCAAACTCTTCTCGCTAAGGTTCACGTTGCTAAATTTCGTGGCCATTTCTCAGTCCTCTGTCTTTCAACCTTGTATTAATAAAGTTGGCCACCACTTTCTCCTTAGTAATCTCTTTTCACGCAGAATCCAGGAAACCGCACATTTGTGCTTTTCTATCTGCCATGATAATTCTGCCTTCTTAGTCTTCATTTCTGGTTCCTCTTATTTTCCTTGACTTCTAAATGTTGGTGCAGACCAGAATCAGTTTTTGGTCCTATGGTCTTATATACTACTTGATGACTCACAAATTTCTGGAATCCAGACTTATTCCCAAACTCTAGGTTCATATCCAATTGCTTTTTCAAAACCTGTGTCTGGGGGCCAGGGAGATGGCTTAGTGGAATAAGTGTTTGCCTGGCAAGTGCAAGGGCCTGAGTTCAATCCCCAGTTCCACAGAAAAAAAAAGAAACCAAAAAAAAAAAAAAACCCTGTGTGTCTGTGTGTCTAATAGACATCTCAATTTTAATACATCCCAGACAGAACCCTTCATCTTCACTTTTCAACCTGTTCTACCTTCAGTCTGCACAGTTTTGCAGGCAGAAATGCTGAAGTCATCCTTGACATCTCTCTTTGGTCAAATGCATAAGTCATATTACTGAGTCTCTCTTTAAAACATATCTAGAAAATGCCCCTCCTACTTTTCACTGTTACAACCTTGGTTGGAACCTCTTTTTATATAGCTAACCCTATTCACAGGTTTCACAACATCTCTCTTGCTTCTGCACCCCCTTTTCATTCTGTCTATTATCAGTAGAGTAGTCAGGGCCAACTTTCTAAGTGAAGGTGAGATCATGTACCTCTTCTGATGATTCTTCATTTTACTCAGAGTGAAAGCAAAGGTTCAGTGATAGTGTATATGTCTCTTCTTCAGTTCTAGGCACATTATCCTGCTTGCTAAGATCACATATCACCTCCTAATGTTCTATATTACTCACTTTTCTATTATGTGTGTTATTTATTTTATTCATACTGTCTAGAAGGAAAGCTCCATGGAAGCAAGTATTTCTGTGTTTTGTTTGCTGATGTGATGCTCAGGCACTTAAAGGTGAAGAGTAAATGCTCAAAAATACTCATTGAGTGAAAGAAGGAAGGACTTTAACTTGAGAAGAGGGCCTTTTCCTTGCACTGATTAACTTTGCTCATTTTTTCAATAGAAAGAACAGAAAATTCCACTATCTATAAAGTGAGATACCAGAGTTTAATGATAGTTATAATCAATAACCTATCTTGAGCACTTAATTTGTTTATGAACACACAAGGTCATCTGAATAAGTCCTGCATATTCATCAACAAAGCATTTATGGTGCGCCTACCATGTAACTAGCAGGACTGAGCACGATGGAAGGTGTGGAGCTATACAGCAAGATTGAAAGCAAAGTGTAAGACCTCCTCATCTGCCTAATCTAGGCCATACTCCTTTTTTTAAAACTAGAAATCATTTTTCTGTAGCAACTTAGAATTAGCCTAGTGCCTTACATTTTCCTCCTTGTGCTGTAAAGAAGATTCATCCTGAGCCTGGACTTATTAGAGAGAGTAGGAAGATGGGTCACAAAAATCCCTTATGGGTGGGAGTGAAAGCCTTCAGCAGTTCATGAAAAAAGAAAAGGAGGAATGTTTCTGAGAAAGAATCATTATTTGTGGTCACTGATAAAGAAAGCCTCAGATCCAAGTCAAAATTCAGCAGCCAATCATTTACTTGTTTATCAGTGGTGATAAGGGAATCAAGGTGTGTCAGGGAATCTGAAAAACCACCAACAGCTGCCATTGCTGAGAAGAGGGCAGAAAGGTGGGTCTCCATGCTCTTTCCACCATTCATCTAGAGAAGTCTGCTTTTGTCTATTTCATTTGTTTATGCTTCCATGCCCAGATATTTTTGAACAGTGGGCTTCTTCTGTTAATTTCTCAATCTCAGGGGAAAACAAAAGTAAATCTTACCTTGCTCTTTCTTTTCCTCATAGACCCTGCAGGCTTTGAAAGTAAGGGTAAAAATAGAATGGATTCACTGGAAGTACAAAGGATCTGGGGGATCTTTCTGATAGAAATAAGGCTGTCATTTACTTCTCGGTGCTTGGCTTTCATGGCTTCAGAATACTATCACGGTTTTTGGCTAGGCATCTTTGTTAGTTGATGAATTTGAAACAGCTGTGAAAGTACCAACTGCTAGTTCACCTTGAAAGTGAAACACCAGTGTTAAATAATGAAAAGAGCCATCTTGTAGAATGCCCTGTGCATTTCCCTATCAGCTAATGCATTTACTGATATTAATAAAGGTATCTATCTATTAGTTCAATTAATTTGCCATAAAAGAATATAACTACCACTAGACACATAGGAGAATTTTCTGATTTTTCAGGGAAGAATACATAAAAATTTATGAGGAATGATCTACAGCTACAGTCATAAAATATATCCTTATGGATGCTTCTCACAAACATAAGGCTCAACAAAAGATGTCATAAACAAAGGAGTGCATGCTGAATGATTCCACTTATATAAAGTTTGAAAATAAGCAAAACTAATCTGTGGTATTGGAAGCAAGTGTAAAAGTTACCCTTGAATGGAGTCATTAGTTAGTAGAGAGAATTACAAGGCATAAGAGCACTTCTCGGTGTCATTAATATCCTTTTTCTCTAGCTGGATGTTGCATTAATGTATTCACTGTACGAATTCATTGAACTACATATGCACTTGGTGATTTGTGTACTTGTCTATAGATGTTTTCCACTCTAATAAATATGTTGCATAGCAACTGATTTTATCTAAATTGGGTGGAGAATTTTATTCTGTTCCCTGAGATAAGTAGAAATACTGGTGAATTTCTAGATCTCAGGCTTGGGATAGAATCCTCAAGATCTATTCTGTGAGGATCACCAGAGGCTGGCCCAACTGTAAGGCAGTGATAGACAATGAGTTACATTTTATTTTTATTCTACACTTGATCTTAGCCAAAAGTCCGAGAAGTAATTTTATTTTTATTCTAAACATCAAAGAAAGAGGTGGTGCCTATTGAAAAAGTATACCAGAGAACAACTATTAAGATTCGCATATACATAATAGAAATATTCTGCTGTGATTTTGGTGGGAGTTTACTATTTCTATAAGCATTTAGGGCAGCTACATACTTTGACCGATTCTCCTTCTACTGAGTTTGGCAGCACCCCCTGCAATTAGACCACAGGTACTTGTTGTAGATAGTGACAAATACCCTGTCAACCATAAATTGTAAGGGCCAATACATTCCTCATGTATTTGCTGTTATGGTTTACAATTTTGTGCAGGTCTTAGAACCCTTCCTTAGAGAAAATAATCATTTAACAAAATTCTTACTGCCATGTGTAGAAATAATTTTACTAGAACTAAACATGACCTTTACATGCTTCAGTAGCTTCAAAGTCTGGGTTCTATGTCTCAAAAAAGTCTATGATTTTAGGCACAAAAAATAGATTTAGAAGAATACATGGGTAGTCAAAGTCAATTTTTCCTCATCTTTTCACCTGGTCTCCAGTATTAGGACCTGAAAGGGGATCAAGCGGAGTGAGAAAGAAGTGACAGAGATAGAAATTGATAGACCTTTGCCACTGAGCCTTGTATATTCTCCAGCCCAATTTCCAAAGGGTTCAGAGCATGGTAGAGGCCTCCAAGTTCAAGAAACCCCTATACTGAGAATATTCTACGTGTCTCTTGCTTTTAAAATAGATATCGATTGGGGCAACTCTTCTGGAGCTCTCTGGCTCCCAGTATGAGGAAGGAACAATAGAGATGGCCTTGAA